GCCTCATCTGGGCACCTCCAAACCCCAAACAAAGAAGAGGAATCTGCAGATCTCTCTGTAGCTCCTGCTGGGTAGCCTCAGGCAGAGGCTAAATTAGCACCTCCTTAGAGATCCAAGAGCCAGTGTACCCAGTGGTCAGAGTGGGACCATCCAGATTACAACTCCTCAGATCCATAAGGGACACACTCAGGGGGCAGACTCAGTGAGCACCAAAGCCCCACTGAAGCAAGCCTTGCCCCAGAGGGGTGTCTCCAGCACAGAAGTTCTCCCACCGTAGACACGGCTGATTCTCACAGCCAATTGGCCTGGAGGTCAATTCCTCCCAGTGATACCAACAACAATCAAAGCTTAACTACAACAAGACTGTGCACAAAGCCCACAAAGGGGTGCACCAAGAGTGTCCACCTCAGGTAATTGGGGAGGCTGAGCCACTGGGCCCTATAGGACAGCTAGCACAGAAAGCTACTCTATCAACACAGGGAAGCAGCCAAAATGTGGAGACAAAGAAACAGGTCACAAATGACAGAAATGGAGGAAAGCAAACGACTGGATATAGAATTCAAAACCACGGTTATAAGGTTTTTCAAGAATTTTCTAGAAACCGCCCATAAATTTAGTGAGACCCTCAATAAATCTAGTGAGATCCTCGAGGATATGAAAAAGGACCAACTAGAAATTAAGCATACACTGACTGAAATAAAGAATATTACACAGAGATCTAACAGCAGACTAGAAGATCGCAAGAATCAAGTCAAAGATTTGAAGAAGCAAAAAACACCCAACCGGAAAAACAAAAAAGAAAAAAGAATCCAAAAATATGAAGATAGTGTAAGGAGCCTCTGGGACAACTTCAAGTGTACCAACATCCGAATTATGGGGGTGCCAAAAGAAGAGAGAGAGCAAGATATTGAAAACCTATTTGAAGAGATAATGACAGAAAACTTCCCCTACCTGGTGAAAGAAATAGACTTACAAGTCCAGGAAGCGCAGAGAACCCCAAACAAAAGGAATCCAAAGAGGACCACACCAAGACACATCATAATTAAAATGCCAAGAGCAAAAGACAAAGAGAGTATCCTAAAAGCAGCAAGAGAAAGAAAGTCAGTTACCTACAAGGGAGTACCCATACGACTGTCAGCTGATTTCTCAACAGAAACTTTGCAGGCCAGAAGGGAGTGGCAAGAAATATTCAAAGTGATCAATGCCAAGAACCTACAACCAAGATTACTTTATCCAGCAAAGCTATCATTCAGAATTGAAGGTCAGATAAAGAGCTTCACAGATAAGTAAAAGCTAAAGGAGTTCATCACCACCAAACCAGTATTATATGAAATGCTGAAAGGTATCCTTTAAAAAGAGGAAGAAGAAGAAAAAGGTAAAAATACAAATTATGAACAACAAATACATATCTATCAACAAGTGAATCTAAAAATCAAGTGAATAAATAATCTGATGAACAGAATAAACTGGTGAATATAATAGAATCAGGGGCATAGAAAGGAAGTGGACTGACAATTCTTGGGGGGAAAGGGGTGTGGGGGGTGGAAAAAAATCATACACCTATGGATGAGGACGGGGGTGGGGGGGGATGGTAAGGGCAGAGGGTGGGGTGGGAACCGGGTGGAGGGGAGCTATGGGGGGAAAAAGAGGAACAACTGTAATAATCTGAACAATAAAGATTTAATTAAAAAAAGAGAAGAACCTGTTTATAAACCAAGTTAACAACTAACAATTTCATATCCTAGTTGAGAAAAATATTAAGTGTATAGGTTCCTGGATAAAGAATATTACAACATGCTGAGTTTAACTGACATCTGATTTTTAAATTTTTTTTATTATAGTTGGCACAAAATATTATATTAGTTTCAGGTATATAACATAGTGATTCAACATTTATATACCTGATGTGATCACGATAAGTCTAGTAACTATCTGTCACTGTGCAAACTTATTGCAATATTATTGACTATATTCCCTGTGCTGTAATGACATGTGATCTTTTTACCCAAAAGCTAAGAGCTTTAGGAGGGAAAATGCCAAACTAATGAAAGACTTTATCGATGAATCATGAGAAAATTTTTTCTCATAAGATCATTTTTTAAAATGGTGCCCCAAGGGCTCTTTGAACTCTAAAATTCAAGATGTGAAATCCATATTTCCCGTCATTTTCCCTCCCAAGACCGACTGCTCTTGAATGTTCTCTAGTGCTATGAAAGCAATCACTGTCAGCTCCGGTGCTGAACCTCAAAACTAGAGCCCTCCCTTCCCTGACCCCTCACATCCAAAATATGACCAGCCCCCATCAATTCTTCCTTAGCAGCATTTCTATCACCATGCCCTGACATGGCCCTAACACAGGCCCTCACTTCTGGGACTCAGCAACAGTCTTCCAATTCCAGTGTTTGCGGTTTCCAAATTCTGCAGACTGCTTGAGATTACTATGCCAACAGTAGAATAGAGCCCCATTATCTAGGACATATGGCCTAAATATCAAACCTCCATTCTAGAGGCTTTTCATGAACTAGTTCCATCATATGACTTCCATGCTATTTCCTGTCTCATTAACACCTACTTAAGCCTCAGGTCTCCTCATAAATGTCCTTTGCTCTGGGAAGATTTTCCAAATTGCCTGAGATTATGACAGTTCCTCTGCCACAGGACTTCACTGTACCATGAACTTGCCCAACAGGAGCATATTATAGTTGCTTCAGAAGTTACCTCCCTCATCCTACTCAAACTTGCCAAGACTGCTCACTTTGTGAATATATACCCGGCCAGGGCTTCTCACAGTTCTAGATGCTAGAATTCTAAGACAAAGGTTCCAGCAAACAGCCATCTTCTCTCTATGGCTTCACGTGGCCTTTTCTTAGTGTGTACACAAGGTTGGGTTGGGAGGCTGGGGGTGGGCATGCTCTAGTGTCTCTTCATATAAGAAAACCAATCCTGTCAGATTAGAGTCCCACCTCTATGGCTTCCTTTAGCATTAATTACTTTCTTAGAGGCCCCGTCTCAAATACAGCTACACTAAGGGGTCAGGACTTCAACCCATGAATTTTGAAATGACATAAACATTGTCTATAACAGTAGGCGACCCTTAAATTAGCCATCAGGAGGAGAACCAAGATGGTGGCATAGGTAAATGCCTGTACTTGTTGCCTCCCACAACCACATCAAAATTACAACTAAAATACAGAACAACTATCATCCAGAACCACAGGAAAGCTGGCTGAGTGGAAGTACTACAACTAGAGAGGTAAAGAAGAAAGCACACTGAGACTGGTAGGAGGTACGGAAGCGTGGAACAGGCTGGTCTGGCACCCCAGTGTGCCACTTTTTTAACTGGGACAATATCAAGTATAACAACATTCACATTATAGGTGTTTCAGAAGGATAAGAGAAAGAGGGAGATATTGAAAACCTAATTATAGAAATAATGATGGAAAACTTCCCCAACCTGTTGAAGGAAACAGACACAAAAGTCCAGGAAGCACATAGAGTCCCAAACAAGATGAACCCAAGGAGGCCCACCCCAAGATATGTCATAATTACAATATCAAAGGTTAAAGACAAAGAGAGAATCTTAAAAGTAACAAGAGAAAAGCATTAGTTATGTACAAGGGAGCTCCCATAGACTATCAACTGATTCTGCAACAAAAACTTTGCAGGCCAGAGAGAATGGCATAAAACATTCAAAGTGATGAAAAGCAAGTACCTACAACCAAGATTACTCTAACCAGAAGGCTATCATTTAGAGTAAGACAGATAAAGGGTTTCCCAGATAAAAGAACACTAAAGGACATGAGTTCATCACCACCAAACCAGTATGACAGTAGCCCACCCTTGACCTTTACTAATTTTTTGGTATTAATCGACCTTTATGGTGATATAATTCACATACCATAAAATTCAGCCTTTTAAAGTATACAATTCAGTAGCATAGTCATGAACATGTGCAAACAACACCACCATATAATTCAAGAACACTCTCATCACCCCAAAAAGAAATCCCATAGATATCAGCAATCACTTCCCAATCTGTTCTTCCCCTAGTCCCTGGCAACCACCAATCTACTTCCTATCTTTATGGGTTTACCTATTCTGAACATTTTCTATAAATGAAATCATACAATATGTGGCCTTTTGTGTCAGACTTTTTTCACCTACTACAGTGTTTTCAAGGTTCATCCATGTCTACTACTTTAAAAAAGCATTTTTAATGGAGAATTTGAATTAGAAACTAGGCAGAATAGTATACTAGTAAACCTCTACGTATCCATCATCTAGCCTCAATAACCCCAACCCATCCACACATCACATACCTTGCCTGAAATGAATTCCAGATACTATATTGTTTCTGTGTAAATATTTCCATAAGGACATTTTATAATAGCTGTTCTAACACTTAGCCTCCTGATCAGTTTTCCTTATTTTAATGGCCTACGTCTATGAAGAGCTGAATTTTTCCTTTGCTAGGCATTATTTACTTAAGAAATACACTGGATTTATACATTCTGCCTAATAAAAGCACTGAAGGGGAAAAATTGAAAGAGTTATGAACCAAAATCTCAGAGAAATTTCTCCACAGGCCAAGATTCAAAGTGATCTAAAATATGATAAATACCTCAATATTTCTTCTGACAGTCAGAAACACTCATATGGAGGTTGTTTACTTTTTAGTTTTCCCTCGTCATCCCGGAAAAGGCCTAGAAGTTTATTACAAGCGGGTTTTGCTCTTGTTTTTTAGCATGCACCAATTACAATCCAGAAAGCACTTCAAATGCCTATGTGAGGACTAAATACAAAGTAATTTCACACAAAAGAAGAGCATTTATGAACCCAACAGAAAGACTTTAGGGTTTTTTAAATTATTATTTTAGGAAAGGTAGCAAACAAGCAGATATTCACTGTTATAAGGTGAGGGGAAAATTAAGAGGAAAGAGAAGAAAGGGAGAAGTAAAGGATAAGGGTGGCAGAAGAATTCATATTCAAATTACTCTTACCTTTTTGTGAGCAATTAGGAGGCAATTGGAATGTTCATGTTCACAAGCAATTTCATAGTCAGGGATCAGATCCACCAATTCACGGACAAAGCGTACCACTTCCTCATGCCAGGGCACGTTGGCCATGGTAAGACTGCTTGCTGAACTCTCTCCACAGTAGGTAACACCCTGTGGAGACATTACAATAGTTAGAGACAATTACAGACCTGTTTAAATGTCATAGAGAAAATTTCAGAGCTAGAAAGGCTTCTAGAATTCATCCAAATCAATCCCATCTGTATTTTAAAGTGAAGAAAGTGATACAACGATGATAAAATTCTTGGGAACTAATACAAGGAGTTAGTGACAAGGACAGCACTGGTGCTCCCGGGCTGATCGATGTTTTCACTCTATGACAGTGCTGGTGCTTGGGTACCTGTGCTTTGTGTCATGTATGACAATATTATTTGAACCAACAACGTATCTTTCCATTCAGATTCATCTGGGATCTATAATAGATTAATTCTCAGGGATGACAGTCCCCTAGAATAATAAGGCAGGCATAGTTGACACCCATAAAAATTCACTGAACAATTTATTCACTGGGAAAATAAAATGAACTCCCATTTTACGGTACAGTTTAGATTAGAGGTTGGTAAATTTTATGTTAAAGGCTGGATAGGGATCCCATTATTATTATTATTTATTCTTTAAAGACATCACTTTGTAATGCATTTTGTACACACACACACTCATGCCAAATAGGAAATACTTATGTGGATGTGTATACATGCATTTAAGCACACCTACATGTATCTCACCTCTATAGAAATTCTTATTCAGTGAGATAACTTTGGTTCTGTTTTGAACTCTACCTGACAGCCCAGTCATATAAAATCCAAAAATTTCATAGCTAAGTTCTCTACTTGGTAGATTACATAATGATAAATAATTCATTTTTAAATATTGGATATCTTAACTTTGTAGGCTCTTCAAATACCCCAGAATCAAACTTTCTTGACAAATGGAATATTCTAGATATGCTACTACTAAGTAGGGAATACTGAAATAAAAAACATGCACCACATACACACCTCTCTCTCTCTCTCTCTCTCTCTCTCTCTCTCTCTCTCTCACACACACACACACACACACACACACACACACACACACACACACCAGTCATTAAAGGGGGTAGAATGACATTAAATGAAAAACCCACAAATGAACTCTGAAGAGTGACCCTGACCCTACAGATGGCAGAGCCAGGGACTTGGCTGAAAACTCAGACGAGCTCTGCAGAACGCTCTGTTCCAGATGGCTGTGCAAGAAGATTGCTGGTCTACTAGACTGAGATGACCTTTGCTGGACGCAAACCTTAGGTGACCCAGCTTAGTTCTAGCAAACAAGAGAATCTTCTCTATTAGCCCAATAATTTATTGAATTCATTAAACTGAGTCTGAGTTGTCGGTGAATTAAAAAAGCAAGTAGTTTTAAAAAATCTTTAAGAAAGCATGGCTGAAAAATTATGCTAAACATACCTGAATGTATAAAAACCATGAAAATGATTTATTGATAGATAAAATTGGTCACAAAAACAAACTTCACTTCAATTTAAATACTGTTAATGATGCATGAATTATATGAACAGCCATGTATGGAACAGTTATTTCAAAGGAATTTATTTTTAATATTTAAAAAGCTAGTTCATTGAAGCAGAGGTTTTTAGATAAGATCTTATATTCATGACAATGGCTTTGGAAAATGTTTAATATTTCTTATTCAGCAATAATAAATCATGAAATATTAAGGAGATATTTGGCTTGGAAATGAAATTAGAGAATGAATGCCACACAGCTCATTATTATGCCTCCACATAATGTTTCTCCACACATTCGCATGATGCTTTATAGCACTTTCCAAAGCACTTTCACATAAAAGTTCTCTTTTAGCCAAACCAAATCTGCTGGGGTCGGCAGTACGGGTAGCTTGAACCAACCACAGAGCCTGAGCCTTCACCATGACAGAAATGCTTCGGGCAGAAACCGGTTTCAGTGAACTGGTCTGTGAAGTCACTTTCGGGAACCCCTGAGCCCTCACCAGTATAGCTCCTAATGCCTCACTCTGTGGTGCTCTCTGCCTTGGCTTCTTCACTTCTTCCAAACTCTGGTCTACCAGTGACTTGTGCTGACTTTATTCCTGGTCACACTTAACCCTGAACTATCTAAAACCACTATCAGTTTCCCTCATATCATGGCTATCTGCCACCTTCTCACTCACCTCCACACCCCACACCCTCCCCATTTATTACCAACATCACGTGTTTCCTCACAACTTTGAAAAAAGAACAACCTTAAGAAAACAGATGGGCACAATGCGGCAACTGGAAAGTAGTCATTCACTCCAGAATCTACAGGTTGAGGAGTAACAAGCAGACCCAAAGCAAGTTCCCAAAGAACAGGACCATCTGTACATCTTCACGTTTGTAGTGAGAAGCATAGCCCACACCATGACCTTAGCACTTTTCTGATGGATTTCTCTGCTCTAGGAGATGGGGGGCATCAGGTCTTTTTTTACTGGCTGCTTGGAAAGTTTACCTAGGGATTCAAGGTATGCGGGTGAGCAGTATTTTGGCAGCTTGCTATTCTAATTAAACTGACTGGGTGTCTAAAGACTCCTGATCCTGTTTTTGTTCCCTACAGTTTGATGAGAAATGTCTTTATGACATTCTGCAGCATGATACCCAAATCATGTCATTCCTATATCCTGAAAATGCTTCAACAGTCCCCTCCCCCCGCAAAAACAAACAAACAGCCCAAGCTTCTCAACATGGCTTTGAGGCCTTCTTATTGGACCGTCTCACTCAGCATCCAGTCTTCACCTGCCTAAATCCTCCATCATCTCTTCAATCTCCAGTCAGGAAACTCTACCTTATCTGACCTCAATGTCATCATATCTTGTGCATGTCCCTTACCAGATAACTGGGATAATATGTCAAAATTCTGAGCCTATTCTTCTCTGGACCCCCAACCACTCTATGCTGAATGACCTAAAGATCTAACAAATTCTTCTTTGATAAGAAACCCCAGAACTCTTTTCTGATCTAATATAAGATTTCATTCATATTACTCAGAACTTGTCTACTCTTTAACGATCATGAACCAACTGATAAACACCAGTTAGGTATTACCATGTACATGAACAACTGGTACTATTCCTTATCTTCACAGAAAGAGTGAGGCTATGCTAACCCATTTGTTTTGCAAGATGCATTCTGCAAGAATTGAGTTCTTATAGACAGTTACAGTGCAAAGGGTAAGAGAGTCTTGTATCATTTGACAGCAAATAATTACTGGGTACTTACTATTCTCAAGGTACAATGCCAGTAGAGAATACAAAGGCAATATTTCATTTATAAATAGTGTTATAAAAGTTTTTCAATGAGACAGATGTTTGTAACATGAAACACATTTTCACAAACAAGCAAGCCAATAATGATGGTTAAGATTCTCAGGTTAGCAAAGAAAGGCCTATTTAAGCCTAACAAAGCTAAAATGTACGTTAATTTACCTGAGGATATAATAGAAAAACTATTTTACAAGACTAACACTGAAAGAAAAGAGGAAATCAATGTAATAAATAGCTTCTATTGATTTAGTTTAAATAAATGTGCTTAACGGAAAGTGAGTTAAACATTTACTGAATCCAGGCATACCCATTACCCCAATGAATTTCTCAAAACAAAGCTATTACATTGCTACTATTATTCTAATTTTAATCTTGAGGAAGTTTAGACTCAAGGAAGATAGTAACCTGTCCCAGCTCCTTCAGCACCTTTCAGGAATGTATCAAAGCTGTGCTCTTCTCTCTTCCCCACTTGATACACCAGTGTGTGCAGACTCTGAAGGACTCTGGCACCCACCACATACACACACATCCAGGACATACAGACAAAGGATATGAACAGTACTGTGTTTGCTTCTGCAGAGAGCCCCAGGCATATCACTAACCCAGGGTCAATTGGCACTATCCATTTCACATATTCAGAGCCTTTTTGTGACCTGGAGGCACTATTAAATTTTACCATCAACCCCTTTTGAGGGATAGGTCCTGGAAAACTTTTTCACCAACAGCATAGGTAAGGGATAAATCTCCAAGTGCCATTCTGTGTCAGTGGGTAAATTTTGTCCTAATTCAGCCTTCAACTGAAGTTAAAAGCGCCTAGTCTTCTGTGCTTTAAACCCAAGTCCTGTCTCTGCCAGAGCTGCCCTCCACACTTATATGATCTGGGGCCTATTTGAACCTACATGTGGTTCAAATTTAATAAGGCCAACATAGAACACATGAAATTACTTCCCAAACTTACCTCCTTCCTTGCCTGGGTCTTTCCATCTCAGTAAACTGTTCCACATCCACACAACTGTTTAAGCTAAAAATCCAGTGCTATTATTGATTCCTTTTGTTCTTTCACTCCCTACATATCATCTAGCAATAAGTTCTGTTGGTTCTACTTCCAAAATTTATCCTAAATGCGGCTACATTTCTCCAACATATATTACCAATGACCTTCCCCAATCCATCACATGTCTTGTTTGAATTCAGCAATAGCTTTGTAACTGGTCTGCCTACTTCTACTATTGCCTTCTATACTCTCTTTATGACAGCAGCAAGGTGTTGTTTTACAATCATAAATCAGACACATGATTCTCCAGCTTTAGAAGTACACCTAGTATAAAGAAAAGCGTACCATGAAATTTGGTATAAAATCCAATTCTCTTATCCTTGCTTGAAAGACCTAACAGAATCCGGCCCCAGTCCACTTCTCTGACTCATCTTCTGTCACTGTCAACTCCAGCCGCCCCACAGAGATCACATAGGACCTCCATATACTATCTCTGCCATTTGCTCGAACGTTCTAACCCCAAGCCTTTGCATATTGTGTTGCTTCTTAGTATTTAGATACCAGTTTTAAAAAAGTCATCTTCTCAGAAAAGCCTTCTGGCTTATAATATCTAGAACAGCCAAACACAATATCTAGCAAAACAATATATGCATTTACCCTTTGATACATCAACCCACTTATAGGAATCCATCCCAAAGAAACACTGGCAAAGCCCTGGTTGGAATGGCTCAATTGGTTGGAGCTTCACAGGTTCGATTCCCGATCAGGGCACATAGGTTCGATCCCTGGTCAGGGGTACATACAGGAGGCAGCCAATTTATGTATTTCTCTCACATTGCTGTTTCTTTCTTTCTCTCTCTCTCTCTCTCTCTCTCTCTCTCTCTCTCTCTCTCTCTCCCTTGCTCCCTCTCTAGAATAAAAAAAAATAAATATACCCAATAAATAAATGAAATACTGGCAAAACCATGACACAGATAACCAGACATTACGTGTCTCTTCCTGGAAGTACACAATACCACCAATGAAATAATCTTGAAATGCAAACACACACACAAGAATCTGATCAATCTTCTCTTTTCTTATTTTATTTTATTGTTTCCATCTCCATTTATCACCTAGATAAATCAATCTTCTCTTGATCTAACTACCAATCCACAGGAAATATAGAAAACATAGGAAAATACAATCAGCAGAATCTAGAATATAAATATGGGGAACAAGCCAGGATAAATACTTTCTTCAACAAAATAAATTACAAAGGGGAAAAACATATGGAAGAGAAATTAGATTAAAAGAAATTTAAGAGAAAAATAATGCATTTACAATGAATGGCCCAGATTTAAAAATACCGTTGAGCATCGCCCTATGAACCAGGAGGTCACAGTTCCATTCCAGTCAGGGCATGAGCCCGACTTGCGGGCTCCATCCCCAGTGTGGGGCATGCAGGAAGCAGCTGATCAATGATTTTCTCTCATCATTGATGTTTCTATCTCTCTCTCCCTTTCCCTTCCTCTCTGAAATCAATAAAAATATATATACATAAAAAATATTGTGTTAAAAATACTGTTGAAATAATTGGCCCAGTTTGAAACCTTATATGTTCTAATACTTAAAATTATGTTAAAGTTGTTTAGTTATGAGAACAGTATTCTGAATAAGTGTTTAAAATGAGTATACATCTTTTAGAGTTATATATTTTAACAGTTATGAATCAATGATATAATGTGGGGGTTTGCTTCTAAATAATATGGTAAAGTGAGAAAATGGGTAAGAATATAGCTGAAACATGAGTTAACAATTTTGGAAGCTGGGTGACGGACAAATGGAGTAAATTAAACCAGTATCTCCACTTCTCATATGTTTGAAATTTTCCATAATTGAAATTTATTTAAAAGCCAACCAATCATTCAGCATATTAATGTTACTACAGTTGACCCTTGCAGGCTTGAACTGCACAGGTCCAATTATCGACACATTTTTCTCAATAAATACTACAAATGTATTTTCTCATCCTTATGATTTTCTTAATAAAGTTTTCTTTCCTCTAGCTTATTTTATTGTAAGAATATAGTATATAACATATATTACATATATCTTAGTCAATTGTTTATATTATTAATAAGGCTCTGGTCTTAGTAGGCTATTGGTAGTTAAGCTTATGGGAAGTCAAAAGTTATACATGAATTTTCAAGTGTGCTCCTAACCTCGCATTGTTCACCAGTCAACTATATGTAGTTTCTTATTATTCAGTTTGTGATGACTGTCTACCTCTCACTAAAATAATATTTTTGTGAGAACTAATGCTTAGTTTTTACTGCTACTATCCCCAGTGACTAGAACAGTGCCTGGTTCCTGATTAATATTTCTGAATGAATACATAAAACATCTGGGACCTCCCATAGAGTCTAAAAAAATGTTAACTCTAGGATGATTAACAAAGCATCGCAGGAAGACGGTACAGCAGTGGCCAGCAGGGGCTTACCTTCACTTCGATGAAGTCAGGATGCCCTAGAGACACCAGCTCAGCATAGGCTTGGAGTTCATCCACATTCCATGCTTTAACTAGAGTCAGTCTGTAGACAGTACGCTGTTGCTAAAACAAAGGAAAAGCCAACTTTGTTTTTACTAGTATCTCTGTAGAAGTTACACCTAGGAAGACTTTCAAATTTCTTCAAACCATAGAGAACCCAGGTAAGGTGAAATCCAGCATGAACTTCTATAAACTTATATCTTTTTGAAAAATGTATAAACAAAGTTATAAGATTCCCATAAGCCTTACAAAAGCAAAGATACTAGCATATTTCTTTTCTTTCACTCACAATATCTAACAATATTAGGCACCCAATAGGTTCTTGACAAAGATACATTGGATGAGATTTAGTAAAGAACAATAAGTTGACCACATAGTTTTAGATTGTCAAAAAATTAGATTAAGGAGAAGTAGCCAGTTACCAAATAAAAAGAAAAAAAAAATGAGCAGCTTTCCTGGCATAGAGTGTGGATATTTATATTTTTTTAAGTATGGTGTGAGACAGGGATTCTTTCTCTTCTATGTGGAACTGAACCAGCGTTAAACGTTGAATAATTCGTTCTCTACTCCATGATTTGTAACGTCTGCTTGTTGTAATCAAGTTTTCATATATTCATGGATGTTTCTGAACTTTCTACTCTGTGATATTAGTTTTTCTATCTTGTCACAGTACCACACTAAGTAACTATAGCTTTATAATAAGACTTGATATTTAGCACAAACAACCTCTCTTTGTTCTTCAAAATTGTTTTTCTTCAAAATTATCTTGCTTATTCTTAGCCCCTTAATTTTTTTTCATATTTACTTTAGCACTAGAGGCCTGGTGCATGAATTCATGCACAGATGGGGTCCCTCGGCCTGGCCGGCGATCGAGGCCTATCAAGGGGCCGGCCAGACAGCTGGGTGGAGGGATCCTGGGAGGTTGGCTGGCCCCCACATCGGGGCCCCGGGGGAAGGACTGGGGGAGGTTGGCCAGCGGTGGTGGGGGGAGGGGCCATGGGAGGTTGGCCAGTGGGGGAAGGAGGGCTGGGGGAGGTTGGCCAGCTGGGAGGAAGGGCCGTGGGAGTGCACTGACCACCAGGGGGCAGCTCCTGCATTGAGCATCTGCCCCCTGGTGGTCAGTGCACATCATAGCAACTGGTTGACTGGTTGTTCCAGTTGTTTGGTCGTAAGGGTTGCTTAGGCTTTTATATCTATAGATTACACACACACACCTTTCCTTTTCCTTGCATTCTCATGTTGTAAATTTCTGTGTTAGCATGTTAGTAGTTCTCAGGGCACTGGTCGTTTTTGCACTGTGAAATCTGTGCTGTTCAATATGCCAGTAGAGCCATCTCTTCCAACCTCCCCCTCCAAAGGATGGAGAAATACTGCTCTGTATTACTCCTTTGCTTTCTGAAGTGTAAGTATATATATACTTACACTTTTTAAATTCTCACCCTAACTTTTTAAATTCTCGCCCTAACCGGTTTGGCTCAGTGGATAGAGCGTCGGCCTGTGGACTGAAGGGTCCCAGGTTCGATTCCGGTCAAGGGCATGTACCTTGGTTGTGGGCACATCCCCAGTAGGGGGTGTGCAGGAGGCAGCTGATCGATGTTTCTCTCTCATCGATGTTTCTAACTCTCTATCCCTCTCCCTTCCTCTCTGTAAAAAATCAATAAAATATTTTAAAAATTCTCAAGGGGTATTTTTTCTGCTGTAGAGTGTTTGCATACAATCTCTTACTTACCCTGTTGGCTGCTAATGCACCTAGCATGTTTTGTCTGTGCATTTTGCACTTCACAGCTTTCTCTTGTGGTTTTTCAAGCAATGGACTTAAGTATCCCTTTGACCATATGTCCATTAGATACATTATAATATAGAGTTGTGTGTGTGTATTTATGTATTTATATAAAATATATGTGTGATTTCACCCTCCTCCTACTCCTTCACAAAGGCAATATCTTCCTGCATATTGACCACGTTTCCAGGAGGATGTCAAGCCCTTCTTTTCTTTTTGCTATTGGAAGTAACTTATGGAAGTGCATGAATCTTCAAACTAACTCTGGCCACACTCTGTCTCATATTCTTGCTGATATGCATGGTCTTCTGAGGCTCTGCTGAACCTTAGGCAAATATTTTCCCACTTCCTTTACTAAGTTTCTAGTCTTTGAGCAGGAGAATTTTGTTTAAGGCACCTGCAATGATGTATAGTTGAGATCAGGCATGTCAAGTGACTGATAAACTGATCCAATCTCATCCCAAGAGTCAAAAAAATTAAAAGATACGTGTGTATGTATATATGTTTTCTGATCCCACAGTTTTTGTTGTATTTCCTTGCAAGCCTTTTTTTCTGTATATATATATATATGTGTGTGTGTGTGTGTGTGTGTGTGTGTGCCATTAATACTATGATGCATGTACAATTTTGTTTTATTTTGTTTTTAGCTTTTTAAAAATGTAACACTATTATATTAAAATTACCTTTCATCATTAAATATTCTTCTAAAGTAGTTATTCTCCATGGGAACAAGGAAGCAAGCAAACAAAAACCACATCCCCTCCCCCCTCTGTACTCCTCTCTGAGAATCTCATCTGCATGAGCTCTTCTTTTGTTAGGAGTGTGTTCCTTTGCTGTGTTGGACTGCACATCACTATTTTGAAATGTCATCTTCAGTGCTAGTTCAATAGTGATATCATAAATCGTGTAGCCATTTCTTGGGATTGAACATCTTGAGACCTTATAATATATCATTATTATAAATAAAGCTGGAACAAGCATTCTTATTCATCAGTATTTGTCCACAATTTTAATTATTTCCAAAGGTTAAATTTTTCCAAAAGCAATAATTGGGTCAATAGATTTGAATATTTTTTAGATTCTATTTTTTTTTTTAGATTCTTTAATCATGTTGCCATGTTACTTTCTAAAATGTTTGTACTGAACTATGCTTTTACCATCAGTGAATTAGTATGTCTTTCTTGCTAACTCTAGGCAGCACTGAATATTGCTATTAAAAAAAAAAATCTGTGCCAATTAGATAAGCCAAAGCAGTACCTCATTACTGCTTCAATTTGCATTTCTTTTTTTTTTAAATATATTTTATTGATTTTTTACAGAGAGGAAGGGAGAGAGATAGAGAGTTAGAAACATCAATGAGAGAGAAACATCGATCAGCCGCCTCCTGCACATCTCCCACTGGGGATGTGCCCGCAACCCAGGTACATGCCCTTGACCGGAATCGAACCCGGGACCCTTCAGTCCGCAGGCCGACGCTCCATCCACTGAGCCAAACCGGTCTCGGCAATTTGCATTTCTTTGATTACTAATAACTTGGTGCCATATTTTAGAAGACCATTTTACCTTGGTTTGACATAACCTCAACTCAAGTTCATCTTCAGTTGCAACTATCAAGATAAATCATTGAAATGAAGAGCTGTAGTCCTGGGATAAACTAACATTATCCAGAATGTGTAGCTTTGAAAGCTGTCTAATTAGAAGCAACACAATTCTAACTCATAACTATATATTTTTAACTACTTATTATAAATTTTTAAAACACCCAAGAGAAGAAATAATTCCTGTGTAACCATAATTTTAGCTTTGACAGCTGTCAGCATTCTACATTTCTTATTTTATCCATCTTCTTACATTTTTTTTTTTTTTTGGTGTAGGGAAGACATTGGAATATTTCAAGTTAAATAACAAACAATATCATTTTATCCATGAATACTTGTGTATATAATATATATGAGGACCTTTAAAATTTGAATGCCTCCCCCCAGCACTTTGCATATAGGTTTTTTTAAATAGGATTTATTATTAGAGAATATCATATATACAGAAAAGTGCACAGACCTTAAATGAACAGCTTGGTGAATTACTACAATTGTAATCTCTTCAAGAATTTCCCTTCCAGAATTAATTCTAAGTAATTCATCAAAAATGTGAGCAAAGATATGCATAGGTTTTCACAATGATATTAAACAATAGACAAGAAAATAATGTCAAATCCACTTTATGACAGACTATGCGCCAATTAAACTTGATGTAATAGAATACTTACACAAAGAATCGCAATATAGTTCTCAGTGAAAAAATCAATAACCTAAATAAGCTTCTACTTTAGGGAAGTAGAGAACAAGAGCAATTTAAGCCTATACCAAGTAAAAAAAAATAATAATAAAAATTAGAGCTGAAAGTAACAGAAAACCAGTAGAGAAAAATCAACAAAATCAAAACCTTGTTCTTTGAAGAAAAAAAATCAAATTGACAAATCTCTACTGAGGCTAACCAAGAAAAGAGAGAGAAGATATAATTTATCAATATTAAAAATAAAAAGAGGGATCTCATCACTACTGATCCCTGGACAATAAAATGATAATAAAGGAATACTAAAAACAACACTATGCCAAGAAATTTTGAAAACATAGGTAAAAAAAACCAAATTCCTTAAACACAAAATACACACAAGAAGAAACATTTCATCTGGATGGGCATATATATATGAAACTGAATCAATAGTTAATAACCTCCCAAAACAGAAAGCAGCAAACCCAGATGGGTTCTACCAAACATTTAAAAAATAAATGACATCAACCTACCACAATCTCTTCCAGATAACAGAAGCAGAGGGAATACTTCTCAACTCACTCTCTGAGGCTAACATTACTCTAATGCCAAAAGCAGATAAAGGCATTTTAAAAAAGAAAAAATATATCTTTCATAAGCATAGATTTTCTTTAAATCCTCAATTTATAAATAAATTGGATCCAATGATGTATAAAAATAATATAAACGTGCTCACCAATTGAGATTTATTTCAGGTATTCAAAACTGGTTCAATATTCAAAAAATTACTCAACATCACATATCAATAGACTAGTGTAGAAAAATCATGTCTCATATCATCATATGAATTGATGCAGAAAAGCATTTGACAAATGCCAACACTTTTTCATGATAAATTTCTCAGCAAACTAGGAATTAGAGGAATTTCCTTAACATTATAAAAAAATACTTATAGAAAATCCTCAGCTAATATCACACTTAATTGTGAAAAACTGAATACTTTCTCCCTCAG